TTTCCCTGCTGCCTGTACCACGGTCACATCTCACGGAGACAAGCGTTCTCTGTAGTGCTTTTCATTTTATTGATCGCCCTCGGGAATTGCTAAGTGCTTGGTAAATGTAAATTCATTAAGAAACGCAGAGGGAGATACTGTCTTCACAGACAGAGGGAGGTGTTTTCCACACCCAGGTGAAAGAACAGAAGCCAGGTCTCAACTCTGTTACAACAAACTGGCGAATTAAATTTTGTATGCATGCTAATTAAAAACAAATATTCTAGAAATTAAATTAGGCCTCAGCATATAGCCAGTATCACTAATACATCTTACTCTGACAAAGAGTTAGAAGTTGATTTCCTGTGACTAATTTTTTGGCACCGACGGCCCTGTGTGACGCTCACAGGATTTAACCTATCCTCCAGCACATCATGTAGCACATCTTTTGGAAAGTGTAGTATAATTACCCAAACTCTCTCCATTTGAGATTCAAACTGGGCCAAACCCATCCTTTTAGCAAACAAAAGTGTGTTTAATCACTACAAGTCCAGCTATACTGACAATTAAGCTGCAGTTGCTTATAATGAACAAGCTTACATAGCTCTAAGTTTTCTACAAACTGACCAGCAGGTTTAGTTTCCAAAGAGATCTGTCATTCCAAAATATGAAATTAACTGGTCCTTTTAACAAGATCTGATCTATGAATACAAAGAAAGTACAATATTTCACCTTCATAGAGGTAAGCACAGTTTCTGGCTATGGTGTTAATACAAATCAGAACTGTAATACCTTTTTTTGTTTTTAAAGACAGGATCAAAGACTAACAATTTCTCATATCACCACATTAAAAGCATCTATTGTTTACATACAAATAGCTTGTTTGGGAAAAGGGAAAAGATTCTGCCCATCATTGCCTCAGTATGACAAAGCAAACTCTTGATTTCAGGCAACGCTAATTTTTAAATATTCCTAAGTATGTATGCGGAAAGATAGGATGGGGAAAAGCAGTATCATCAAAACACCTAGTAATACAGGCTCAGTATATTACGATAACCACCTTTTATTTTTTACATCTGAAAATTTAACAAATGGAAAATTTACATGTTTCCTGGATTCCTTTACCCACTTCGATATCAAACCTTATTTTCATTCTGACTGTGTTCCAATGAAATACAGTGGGCTTCACAAGATCGCAGTGATAGCTCGTTGGGTAACAGACATGAATCGAAATCCATGATTTGGATTGAAGAGAGCCTTTTTAAACTAAAATCAATCTACCGGAATAATTCTTATTGTGTAATTGCTTTCAGTATTCCTCGGAGAACTTTGTAACTCATTAATTGTTGGCTTTCTTTGGGAGGAAAGCAGGGTCCACGTTCTGTCACATATGCATAAGGAAATCTAAGCACCCACAGTCCATCAGAGGGAAGGGTTATTTCCTGCTTCTCAGGGTAAAATACAGGACAAGGTGGTGGCCCTGGCTGAACCTGAAAACAAAAGGAAATATGAGTACATAATCAAATATCATTAGAATAAAAAAACCCACAACTAAAACTTAAATGCAGGCTGAACCCAAGGCAGTCTCTGAAGTCTTGCCTACAACCAGGTTCTTATCCCCTTTAGCACACTCTGGAACACCACTGTGCCGTTGTTGTGAGACATCCATAAATTTCCACTTTTATCACAGTGAAGATGCTGAATTTAAGGCTGCAGATTACATCCTACCAAGGAGATCCACAACACAAATACAGGCCATTTGCCTCTTGGGCAGTAGGAAAAGCTGCGTTAACAGCGGATTTCACCACTGTAGCACAGATATTCCCAAGCTGTTACCTCATTCTAAACCAATGTGAATTTTCAAGGATTTCAGCAACATTTAATACGGCTCTTGTGTAATTCATATTAAAAGACTCAGTCTTATTCACATGAGGAACTGATGCAGGAACACACAACACAAATTGTAATGGATTTTCCAAATAAAAAGACACCCTTAGGAGTTAAAAGCTGTGACACACATGTAAGCTGGGAATGAAGAGCAAAACAAGTATCAGCACAAACTCAACCTTCAGTTCTTGCCTCAGTTTCAAACAATAAGGTGATAAATTGCAAACCCATTAAATTTTGCTGTTGGTACCATGTTTCAGTCAGTAGTCTTCCTTTTAACTTCTAAAACAAAGCAGGTTCACATCTGAGTAGTTGAAGGTGTCCCATAAAAGAAGCCAACTCCACCGTGATTCAGTATTAAGGATCTTGTGGCACTTCTCAGAGAGCTTGAAGGGTTGTAAAATGTCCCAAATCCGCCTCCCCGCACTACACAGATGTGTTTTGTGCTGACTGTTGTTATTCATTGACACTACTATACAGCAAACACCAATTTTCTTGCCAGTCTAACAAATAATAAGCACTTACGTGCACACAGAATTTCACGTAGCAGTAACTGAAAGAAGATCACTTGTTCATATTTTACTACTTTAAATGTAAGGAAGTGTAAATGGAGCTTTCTTATTTTTTAATACACATTTGAAAATGGGAAAAAGTCTCCAATGAAAAAAAACCAACGCTTTTTTTACTTCCTAAATTCAAAGGGTAACTAGGAATAATTAATCTCAGCAATGAGTCACTGCTTTTTTCTATGACATTTAAAATAATAAATTCATTCTTACACAGTCATCACCCACTTGTTACCTTTCTAAAAAGAAGCAATTATTGCAGCATGGAACGCTATTAATTCAGCCTTGATAAAACATTTTAAAAACTTACTTTATAAAGTATAAAGCTGGCATAAGCCAATCTTGAAGTGTAGAAAAAAACCTCAAACCTGTTTATAAAACAGTACTTTTGGTGACTACTGCTTTAGAGAACTTGACTGAAGTTGTTTTGAGTCGGAAAGTGTTTCTTGTAGCATCCCTCTGACACTCTTTGCCTACCACCCTTCTGCCCTCTGGTGCTGCAATTAACGTTGCAACCACCAACCCTTTCTCCGCAATTACCAGATTCTCTCTTCCATCTCTTACCTGAGGCGTTAACGTGATCTGCAGTGGAGCATCAGGAACCACCACAAAAAGCCTCATGAACTGAGCATAATGTGGCTTGAGTCCTCGTCCCTGAGTCGATGACAGGATGTACAGCGGCATGTCAGAATTGAGGGCTTTGATGGCGGATTCCTTCGGCCCCCCTCCCATCACTTTCATGACCTTATCGGGCCCTGAACACATGAACCTCCTACCACGTGCATCTTCATATTCAAATCCTACAAAAGCCCGAGCTATGTCATCTCTCCGTCTTCCTCTTCCCATCACAACCGCACTTCTTTTTCCGGGAACAGCCTTGTTAGGCGCAGGCCAGGAATTGGTATCTAGGTCTCCTTCATCTTCAGTTCTCGTCCTGATGACAATGTCCCAAGGCATTAAATAGTTTGTTCCTGGGATAAAGCCTTGTTGATCTAAACCTGTGTGGAAGTTATAAGCCTTAGCAGGCCCCAGCTTAACCAGTGACCAACTGGAGAATTTGGGCAAAAGGCCTTTGGGGCAATTAGAATGGAGCATCCCAGGGAGGTACTCGACAGTGGACGCCTGGCGATCTACTAGGCTTGGCCTTTTCTCGCTTTTGGAGTCCCCGCTCTGCCCATGACTTTCTGCGTTGTCCCCTCCACCCTGGGCATCAGGTGGGTAAGTGCCCAAGCTGCCCGTCGACTGACCCAGGCTGAGGGCTAAGCTCAGGCCTGTGCTTTCCCCCTGAGTCTGAGGTTCTTTTTCTTTAAGTTTCTCAATCTCGCCTTCCGGAGGGGCAGGAGATGACTCGTCCCGAGCAGGTGCCGGATCAGGTGTGCTTGGCTGAAACACAGGAAAGTTGATGTGCTCCAGTTTTCCGCAGCATTTTTCTTCCAGCAGCTATGAAAAAGAAAACATAGTTAACTTTTCCATCTTCTGTCTCAGAGATGAGGAGTTCAGAGTCATAACATTCAGCAGCTACAATTAAGATTCAAGAGGATTGCGCTAGGCGAGAACCGAAGCGGCGATGGGAATACAGTCCACAGACACAATGGATTTAAAACTCACACGAACCAACAAACTTGAAGCATAAATAGATGCTCCTGTGTGCATGCACTGCTGTACACTGGAACTGCCTGCTCTGGTCAGCCCATCGTGCAAACAATTTCTGCTCCCAGAAATATCTCCCCCAAACAACATTTACAAGTTGATAAGGTTAAGAGGAAACTTACTTGTAGTCACTTGGGAATACAGATTTTATTGATGAAACAAAAGCACTGCTTGAAGCAAAAATAGAGACCTAATAGTTACCTGGTAAAAGTCATAATTAGCTGCTTTGATATCAAAGGGGTCATCCCGAGGAGCTTGTTTCCTTCCACAGTTACAGGCACCAGTGGAACGAGCCCGGCTGTTGTGGTACAGAACTGGAGGATTTCTGTCTGCTTCTGGCTTTTCCCCTAAAAGCAAAAAAACAATCAAACCCTAGATAAATTGCTCACCATTTCTAGAGATTCTTTAATTCCCTTCATCCACTGCTTCCTCCCTGCTACATAAATATGCAAAATTATTTGCCAGCAATGCCAGTTTGTCAAGCAACTCTCCACTTTTAATACAAAGTTCCAGTGCAGGTTATACCACTAAACTGAATCCTCTTTGGTTTTACAACCTCTTCCTAAAAGGCCTCAATAGTTCTTCTGCCTGCAGTAACTGTGACTCAGTTTCTATTCCTTGACTGACATCAATCAAGCTATTTAAAGAATGGGGGGGGAGCACTTACACTTCCCAGAGAACTTTTGTTCTCTTACACGTCTCTTGTTAGAAGGACTCCAGTGTAATGTCTATAATTGGCAAGACATAATCCAACTTACTACTAAAGTCAAGGTTACTACTAACAGTGGACTTGCTCCTAAACATTACTCAATATAAAGGAAACCTGCACAACAGCTCTGCTGTAATTAATCCCACTGTACAAAGATGAAGCTTTAAAGCTGCCAAGCTTTCATCTTCCATAAACACGCAAGTCGGTGTTTTCATCCTAAGATGAGATGTTTTAAAGCAGATACAAAATTAAACCATGAGACCCAATTACAAGTGAGCTTCTTTACCTGCTTTTGGGAGCAGATGAAATTTATGCACACAGTGCTGGTCAGTTAAGCTTCGCTCTTCGCAAAGCTGATGCCCATTGCTCCAGAACTTGTAACAGTCCTCGTTTAGCTGCATGGCGTACTTATGGAAGGCTGGGCCGCGGGCGTGCTGACTGTACACACGCAAAGCCTGTGCCAACTGGTTCTTATGGACCGTCATGGTGTAGTTGTGGGGCAGGTTGGATTGATAGGCGCTATGGGCCATGGGGAGAGCTTTCTGGCAACGGTTTTCAGAGAACTTGGTGTCTATATCTAAATAGCCTTCCAAGACTTTGATGCTGCCCATGATTTTTGAGCTCAGTTCCCCAGTGAGAGAGGTCGGGTCATCATCTTTGCCTTCAATGGTCACTTCATACAGTTTTAAGGCTGCAGCAACCCACTTCTGGTAGGTTGGGAGCTCGAAGTGAGAAGGCTGTGGGTTCCTCCCCACACTGTCATCGAAGCCCTTCTTGCTGAGCACCAGCTCCACGTGCTGCCACAAGAACTCCTTGAGGGTGCAGTCCACAAGCTGTCCAGAGGAGCTGGAGCTGCTGCTCTCTGCATGGAAGGACAGCTGCTGCCTGCCGTGCCGCATCATCTGATACCTCCTGGGTCCCGACAGGGTGGGAGCCAGCAATGAGTCAGTCTCTCTCATGGTGCAGTTGCTCCTGAGCTGGTCAAGAAGCATGGCCACTGGATCATCTCCATCCTGGGCCCCACCAGCCACAATGTACACAAAAGCCTGGTTAGCGGGCACGGTGAACAGGCAGTTGATGCTCTGGTTGGTTAGCACCCTGCTCTTGCGGAAGATGCGGTAGATCTGATCCTCCAGAGCATGCTGCAACCTCCTCTTGGGGGAGTGCTTCTTGGGGGGAGGCTTTTCCAGGTGACTGCAGGGGTCCTGGCCTCTGCCTGGGAGGGGATCCACCTTCAGCGCCCCGTTGAGCTGGAAGAGGAAGAGGAGGCGTGGAGGGCATGGCCTGCAGTTGAGCTTCCACTCCTTGCCGACCGGGCAGTCTTTGATGGCAGCCTTCAGGGAGGGCAGGACCTTTTGCCGCAGCCCGTCCAGTGCCCTGAAAACCCGGTCGTAGGTGATGTCAAAGGAACAGGTGGGATGCACCAGCAGCAGGATGTGGCAGACAGAGAAGAGGTAGAGGAGGCTCAGGCAGTGCAGCTTCTCCTGGTGCTTCCAGAACTCGTGGGCTTCAGCGTGTGGCAGTGGGGCCGGGCCGCCAGAGGGGTGG